AATGATGAAGGCGGAGAAGATCTGTCCGTAGCCAAAGTGGTATTAACGTCTTTGAATGGTGTGCCATCTTCTAACTTGTCTGCAGCGACTGCAGAAGCAGCTTGTAATTCCACGGCCTGTTGACTTCTTGCCACAACATCTTCCATTCTGGGAGAGTATAATCGCAGCGCATGGTGGCCTGCATTGTCTGACCGTATTCGTCAATCCCTGACATCCGATAAGGACTAACCTCTTTGTCATTGTAGTAAGCCTCAACTTAATTCATTTGGTTAGTGAATGGTGCTGTGTCGGCACTGATAATTTCTGGACCGTTCGTGCCCCAAAGAATAATAGCTTGGTGTAATGAAGAGGGCATACAACAGGATGAATGGATCCAGTCACGTCCTAATAATGCATGGGAAGATGCTTTCGTATCCACCACAAAGAAAGCAGAAACAATGGATTGTGACCCAACAGTGACTTCCAATGGCAAGATTCCTCGAGTATTGGTAACGTCTCCAATGAAACCACTGACAAGGATCTCTGTCGAGACCAAATCTTGCATGTGCTTGCCTAACTTGCGTATCACAGAGAAGGGTAAAACTGAATAACTGCGGCATTATACACCAAACCCGCTTTAAAGGAACACCACCCATGGTAGCACAAATAAATAGAGGACGAATATGAGTAGTAGCCGTATCACTCGGCTGTGTAAGCATAATAATGGCTGACTTTCCGGGTCTTTCTACTGTCTAAATTCCATTTTTCTTAGTGTGTTCTGGAATCATCGATGGTGTAGAAGAATCAACATCAAAGCTGTCAATCATTTCAGCATCTATATTGGATATTGGTGGATCAACGACTGGCGTGTCGGACGTTGTACGAAATGTCCGTGGCAATACGTAAACCATATTAACTGATGGATTATGATCAGCTACTTTGCGCCAATATTGCCTCTTGGAATGATGGTTTCGTGGTTTAGGCGGTGGACTTAGCGACATCTTTGACTGGAGACACAACTGTATATCTTTATAATAACCAGCTCTCAACTGTTGCTAGCGTCGTTTCTGAGTACGAGTAAGTCTTGATGCGGCAAGGGGACCAACTGTGAATTTATGATGTTGGTTATGATGCCAACGAGTATCACTAAAAACTTTTGGCTTAACCATTCTAGGATTTCGCACAGGAGTCGGTGTTCTTGGTTTAGACAATCGATCCCATAATGATGTTCCGGCCGAGTCAGATGATTTCTTTGACTCAAGTATGGTTTCTCGTGTTCGCACTAGTATAGGCTGAAATCCGGAGGATATCGTAGAGGAATGCCCATGAAGAGGAATGCTAATACTAGATGGTTAGACTTTTGTGGGCAAAACTGTATGTGTTTGTGGGACTAGTGGTAATATAAGATGGTGACGATGGGGCGTCGTTTGTTGAAGATGATTATGTAGAATCTCGCCTGGTGCCGGTTTGTGAACCCATGTCTACGGATGACAATCTACCATGATAGAGACTTCTTCCTTTTGTATCGGGTGATGATAATGCCCACCAAACCACTGCTCAAACTTTCTCAATTGATGCTTGAATCCACTGAGAACTGCATCACCTTGCAAACAACCTGTAGTGTTACATGCCACAAGTACGTGACTATTCAAGCCCACATTGATCATGCGAACCTGGTGTTCTATGGGAAACGGGTTAACGTTTATCTCAACTAGATCATCGACTTTAACTTTCCCCTCATCGATCATTTTTAGTAAATATTTTTGGAAAACCACACAATCATTTGTACTATGTGTCCATGGGATATGATACTTGCAATATGTTTTCTCAACAAATTCAGATGGTTTTGGTGTCCGTTAGCCTTTTCTGTATCTGACATGGCCAGTCTTCATCATATCATAAAAAATTTCCGCTTGTTAAGTAATATCAAAGGAATAAACTTTAGTAAAGGCCGAATCGGACATTTTAGCCGTTCCAGAGGAAGTTATTCCTTGAGAATATGCCTATGACACAACTAGCCTTTGCAATGCCTCACATGTATATTTCTTTAAATTGATAATTTGTGCAGCATTGACACTATCCCAAGGTCGATCTTCATCATCGGAGGAACTCCAAGCAACCTTATTAATTTTCACAACAGGTTCTTTATGGAACCAACACTTTGGTTTGGTTGGCTTTGCTTCTCTTTTTGCTCGGATAACCTTTTCAGTGTTATGAACGACTTGCATAAGCTGTGTCAAAGAACGAATTGAATGTGGCATTACTGCCAACTTCAATTATAAGTCTTGAAGGCCTGAGATCGCCATCTTTACTATGGTAGATTCCTCATATTTACCGGAAGTACCTCCTGGTATCGTTGCAGGCATCTGTTGGAATCTGGCAAGATATGATTCAGCTGTTTCACCTGGTTTCTGCTGGACTTGTGACAAATCAATGATCGACAACCTTGGTGTGGTGTGGTGGAAATTGCGATTAAATATCCGCTTTCGGGCATCCCAGTCAGCAACAGATCCTGGTTCTAAAGTACGGTACCAACCTAATGCTATTCCAACTAATGAATAAGGAAATAATCGTAACTTCAAGAAAGGATTATGCCCAGCTTCACCACATTCCAATTCAAAGTGGCCAATATGATCTTCACGGCGTTGATCATCTTTTGAAGTAAACTTCTTGAAATCTGGCATTTCTTAATTCCTTGGCAAAGGTTCAAACTCAACAGACTCCGGATACGGCTTTCCCATTACCTCAGGAACCTCTATTCCTAATTCCTTGCGTACCATATCTTCTACCATTGTTTTGAAACCAGCTTCAGTAGTAGACGCAGGTGCGGTCTCTTCTTCTCGAGCAAAACCATTTTGTCGGAAGTCTCTCTCAGGTTCTTGATAAAGCTGTGCTTCCGGTTGATTTTCCCTTTGGGGATTTCTAGCATCTCTTTTCCTAGTATTGTTCCTTGCCCGAGTCCGATTCTGTGCCTGATATTCTTTACACTCAATCCATTGTTGTTCTTCCAGCAATTCTTCTACCGTAGGAACGTGTCTTGGAAAAATTTGCGATACAACTTCTTGCTGTCCTCCTTGTTCCGGGACTATAACCCCTGCTCCCTGCCGTGGTGTCCTTTAAGGAGTCGGCATATTATTAATCAAGTTTCCCTGTTGATTACCATATGTGATAAACCTTTGGTCATTGTTCAGGAGAGGATTAGCTGTAGGCGGTGTATTGGCTACCATTGGAACCGGCCAAACATCCGTTGGAGTTGGTATGGATTGAGTTTGTGCACTTTCAATATTCTGACCATGACCACTCTGCCCACCTAAAGGATTTGGCGGAATTACAGGTCTTGGTGGTGGAACTATTCCTCTTGGAGGAATAAAACTTCCTATTGGTGGATAACTAGGAACTCTTGGTGGCTATCTCATAGCTTGGACAACTGGTGTAATCCCATAATTAGATGCGGACCCTTGGGGATTCCCATAATAAGGTAATGGCCCACCATCAAAGGTAAAATTCCTACTGGGGGGATAAAAGCCGGCTGACTTGGTTCAACATGGTAATACCAGCTAAGGTTTTGTATCGGTGTACTTTCTGTAACAACTCCTGCTTGACTTATTCCACTGACTGACAACCCTTGCACTGTTGTTGATGAATGAGAAAACAAAGGGTTCTCATGAGTAAGTGTTGTAGAGGGATTCAACGGGGGTACCCTTAATGATGCATCGGGAGTTATCGGTGGAGTTTCGGGTGTCACGCCGCCATTAGGGTGAACCTTTTGAAGAGACTGCTCTAACGCAGCAATATGGGCCAGCATTCTTGTGATGGTATTATTCTGTTGGCCTATAATGATTTGCTCAAGACTCTAGGGTGTGTTATATGTTGATTCTTTAGAACGCCCCCATTGGTCTAACTCTAATTGAGAATTGATCCATGCTATTCCATATTCCATAGTTTGTTCCACCTTCATTGTGGTGACTTTGAGAGTGATAAGAACCTCTCAACTCCTGTTCCAGATTCTGATTCACCGGTAGAATCGATACTCCTACCCACGGCAACGGGAACATTGGGGTTATTCATGCTTCTCCGGTTCATTTCACCGCTTCTGTTGTTGACAGACCGGAAGGGGTAACTCCCGTCTGAACAGAAGTTGTTGCTGTTATTGTTGACATAGCTTAAAACCTGGTCGAGACACGTAAATTAGTCCCACTGGGCGTGCTAATTATGTTTGTGCAAAAATAATCAGTAGGAACTGACGCACGCTTGCAAACAATATCAAACGAAAGTGTGTAATTCGTGAGATGCAATATTCTCCCAGGCGTAAAAAAGAAAAGGGATAAAACTTGTAACAACTGAATTGAGGATAAATTGATAAATATAAACTAAATACAATGTGTAAATTGAATCGAAAAGACTTGTGAAAAAAAATCACTTGAAAAGAAAATAGGGTATTGAAAAGAAAGACAAGAGCTTTGCAGCATGTGTTTATGTGTGTTGAGGATGATTTGATGATTCTGTGTCTGTTCTTTCTCTTTATATATGGCTCGGTAATCGTCTAGGGTGGTACGATCTCCGATTCCTACTTCAATTCGGTGTTGCCGATTTAGAATTACAATTGACTTGATTTTCCGATTTCTTATTTCTTGCCGCAAAATTGTAATTCTTCTTGGACTTGGATTCAGCTTCCTCCTGCGCCGTTTTGGGCTTTCGACACGTTTCCTATTCCAATTTGGACATGGATTCTCCTCTTCTTCGTCAGATGTATGTTCCTTGCATAACTGGGCCAATTCACCACTTTTGTTGAGCCGACTAAATTTTAATTAAAATCGGTGGTAACAAAACCCTTAATGGACCGTGTCCAGCGGCTCACTAATAACCAGCCTCTACACATCTGCCTCTGCCGCGGCGTCTTCTTCGCTCACCACGACTTCACTCAGCTTCTTGATGCTTAGGAGAAAGGGGAGAAGTTCTACTTGTATACCGGCCGTGGTCCTACTTCTGAAGCCCTGCATCTTGGCCGTCTTATTCCTTTTATGTTCACAAAGTACTTGCAAGATGTTTTCAAAGTTCCTCTCGTAATACAGCTGACTGATGATGAGAAATTCATGTGGAAGAATTTGTCCGTGGAGGAGACCCGGAGACTCGCGCACGAAAACGCAAAGGATATAATAGCTTGTGGGTTCGATATATCAAGGACATTTATATTCTCTAATTTCTACTATGTTGGAGTTCCATTCTACGAGAATATGGTGATGATTGGGAAACATGTCCCTTACAAGAAAGTGGTTGGCATTTTTGGTTTCACCGGGGAAGATCACATCGGGAAAGTTTCTTTCCCACCGGTTCAGGCGGCTCCGTCTTTTCCAACTTCATTCCCGCATCTTTTCCCTGGTGGATTAAACCCTCGCTGTTTCATTGCTTGCGCAATTTACCAGGATCCTTATTTCCGGATGACACGAGATGTTGCTCCTCAGTTAGGATATAACAAACCATCTTTTATTGAATCTATATTTTTCCCTGCCCTTCAGGGTGAAGGTGGGAAAATGGGTTCCAGTGACCCGAACTCGGCGATTTTTGTCTTGGATACTGCAAAGGAGATAAAGGATAAGATAAACAAGTTTTCATTCTCTGGTGGAAAAGATACTATTGAGAATCAACGCAAGTATGGAGCTGACTTGGAGGTGGATATTCCCGTCAAGTATTTTGGCTTTTTCCTGGATGATGATGATGAACTTGAACATATTAGAACGGAATATAAAGCTGAGCGAATGCTAACAGGGGAAGTTAAGCAGCGACTCATCCATGTACTTACTGAAGTTGTTGAACGGCATCGTAAAGCTCGTGCCGCAGTGACTGATAAGATGGTAGATGCGTTTATGGCTGTTAGACCATTGCCGAATATGTTCAGCTAATCGGGAAACTGGGTACAATTTGGAACACCATTTGAGACTAGATATCCTAGGCTCTCGGAGCAAGTGTTTTCCCAATTTTTATGAACTTGAATGAGAGGGAATTGATACTTAATCTTGCACTCTTTGTGTTGCCGAGTCTAAACAACTCATTTTCTGATTGACCTCCAAAGAAGGAAATCATTTCTCTGTTACTCTACTACCGTAGCTTATAGAGCTAATACGTACATGTTCTAAGTTCTAAATTTTTCCTTACGGTTCTGGATATTGAATTGCTGATTTGAGTAACAAAAAAAAAAAAACATTTTCCTTGCAGTAAAGGAAATTGAATGCAAACGTTATTAACAAAATCAACGTGAATATCTAACTTTACTATTATTATTATTTTTTGGTTATCAACAAATTTTTATGAAGGTGAATATTTGGGTCCACGAATCAACGATAGTCATCTATAGATTTTCTAAAACAAGGGATAGTATTACGATCAAATCAGTCTCAGTAACAAGGGATGATCATATGGACTAAGTATGGAGTAGAAACAACTTAGCGTAACCTTCCGAAAAAATGTATATACATAAATACTTTGGGTCAAGGAAGATGGGTTGATTTAGTGATTTAGGTAGTCAAGGAATACTTCAGTCAATGGATGAACTTGCTGGCCTGCTGGGTTGATCCATGTAAATGTCATGCCTCCTGTCGGGAGCCAACCTCTAAAGCTTGCGGGCCTGCTGGGTCAATCCATGTAAATGTCATGCCTCTTTGGGGAGCCAAGTTTTTGAGCTTGGCTCCCCCAAGAGGCATGGCAAGTGGTATCAGAGTTGTCCCCACCCTTCATTCTGACCCGCGGAAAGGGCTACCTAGAAGAAGGATTACCCGGAGTCATGCAGAGTGTGAGCCGCCAGAGGAAAGGACTACCTTCGAAGTGAAGTCACCATGAAAAGGGCTACTTGTGCCGGAGTGAAGCTGTCTAGAGTGCAGCAGTCGAGACGTCAGAGTGGAATCATAGTGTTATGTAATGATAGTTGCTTGAGTCCCACATTGGTGTCGGGTGAAACTGGTGTAACATTTTTATGTTCTTGGATTCTTCCCCCTTACAAGTTAGTTTTTGAAGTAGGTTCCCCCAAGAGGCATGACAATAAACTCACGCTCCGTGGGTCTCAGATCTTAATGTTTACTTTCTTCAGTAATGTATGCATAGTTCCTAGTATTACTCTAGTTCTATGAAAATAAAATAAATTAAAACCTTGTATACATTACTTACGTCAAAGTCGGTTATCAAAATGGATAAAATTTTATCCTTTACACAAAAGCTGAAACCCAAATGGTCATGAAAACAATTAACCAAGGAAGAAACTTGGAAACAAAATAAAATGATCAATCAAAGAATAGAGAAGACAATTCAAACTGGACAATAATTTTGAGATAGAAAGGGTATCTATAATAGCGAAAAAAATCTTATAATTCTGGAAGAACAGGTGACATGAATTAATATTCCAAATCTTTTTCACTAATTACTCTCAACATGTTCATGTAATATGGATACTTTATCGACTTTATCCTTTCACAAAGAGAGGGTGCACCAGGGCCAGCTTAATGTCATGCCCTTGTGGGTTTTTAGATTTTTCTATAAATTAGAGGAACCATTTTATAATTATGATTTGTAGTGGCTGATTAATCAGCTTAAATGTTTCATTTACGGTTTTTGGAAAATTATCAATGAATTAATGAAGTTTCTGGATTCCATTCTCCCCCAATTTCCCATCTTCCCCGTTCTTCTTCTCCCTCCCAATTAGAGTTCTATCTCAACCTCTATAACTCTGAAATCTACCCCCTAAACTTCTAATTCTTCCCCTTTCACCCTCTTTTCTTCAAATTTATAAAATTTAAAGTCAAGGGCATCACACTTAACCATACGGCCATTAAAGTTAAGATTTTAGAAGCATTATATATTTATGAAATAATTTTAAAATTAGTTAAAGTAAGCAAAATTTTTTATAAAAATATGAAATGAATTGGATATTTTGAAAAGATTAATTACAAAGTTTTAATTTGAGCATCATATTAATGAATGTGTATCCAAAAAAAAAAACCAAATAAATTTTATTTACTCATAATTCCAAGGGCCTCAAATTCTTATCCCGCTTTAGTATCTCTCAGCTCTGTCATGGGACTCGGTACCGGATTGGTTAGCGGAACTAACGTGGGAACAGGTACAGGCTTCGGAATTCAATTCACTGGTACCGTATCTAGATCCGGATCCTTCAACCTGTTTACTGTCTGATGGTTCGCCATGGATAATTGGCGGACCCGCGGTGTCTGTCGGAGGAAGCAATTCATTTAAACATCCAGCTCGTCCAGTTCATAAGTCTTCGGTTTTATCATAGGCAGATTTAGCTAGCTGCCCCCCAACAAATCAATTTTAACGGAGAAGAGCAGACCCTTCACATCCTAAATGCTTAGAAACTGAATATTCTATAATTTGCCCTGGCGGTGTGAGGGTGCGGAATCCTTATTATGTGGGAGAAGTACTTCGACGAGATCTATAATAGTCAGGGTTATCGGGTCAATTTGCCTCCTGATGATAGCTACAGAGCAATCATCCTACCTGTTGATTTCAAAGAAAAGATGGAGCCAGAAATTTTAGGTAATTAATATGTTAGATAATTTAATTGTTTTTAGTCAACATTCTGTATCACCTATGCTTTTCCATAATGAAAACATAGCCTTTTGTAATTTGTTTTATTTGGTTTCTGTTGTGAGTCTGTCTTTTATACTAGAGCACTTTCGCAATACTGTTAGTAGATAATAAGATTTATCTCGCTTTTGTGGATTTTATAATTCTCTACTAGTAAAATAGTAGTATTTATGTTGTTACTTTTCCTGTATTTAGTAATTAAGGTCATGATGTCTTCTGTGCAGAGATACAAATATATTGTGGTTGAGTGTGTTGAAAGTAATATTGTGTATATTATTTACGTTACACTACGTGGTATTTATAGTACATCAAGTTATAACCCTAGTCGACTATATCGGAAACCCTAATTAGGATTTCCGTAATTATATATTCTATCATCCCCCCGCAATCATAGCAGGAGAAGTAATCATGCCTAGATTGTTTCTAAAATAATAAAATTTATCCTTAGCTAATGATTTTGTAAAGACATCTGTGAGCTGGGACTATGTGGAAATATGAAGAACACGAAGAAAACCAGCAGCAACACGTTTTCGAACAAAGTGAATGTCTAGACCGATATGTTTGGTGCGGGCATGATTAATCGGATTTGCAACTAAGTATGTGGCAGAGACATTATCACACAAGATGATCGGGCGCTGCGGAAGCTTGATATGAAGTTCAGACAAGAGATTTTCAAACCAAACGGTTTCAGCCAATGCAGAAGCAACCGCCCGATACTCAGACTCAGTAGAAGATTGAGACACGGTAGATTGTTTCTTGGAGAACCAGGAAATTAGAGATGAACCAAGAAAGACTCAAAAACCAGTTGTAGAGCGCGAGTGGTAGGGCATCTAGCCCAATCAGCAGAATACATTACAAGGCGATCAAGAGGGTCAGCACAGAGATGAATGCAATAGTGAAGTGTGCCCTTCATGTAGCGGAGAATGCGTTTGACCACCTGAAAATGCTGCTCGCGAGGATCATGCATATACTGACAGACAAGATTAACAGCATACTGAATGTCCGGTCTAGTGAAGGTCAGATACTGTAAGGCACCCACCAAGCACCGATAGAGAGTCGGATTGTGAAAAGGCGAAGACTTTTCCACATAAAACTGAAAAGCTGGAGCAAGGGGAGTGGCAACAGGATTAGAATCGGTGAGATGACTGCGAGCCAATAACTCCTCACCATATTTGCTTTGATGTAAAAACCAACCACCAGAGTGAGGAGCAATAGAAACACCAAGAAAGTAGCTGATAGGACCAAGATCCGTCATGACAAAAGCACCCTTCAGTGACTGAATAAGAGTAGTGAGGACATGAGTACTGGATGCTGTCATGAGAATGTCATCAATATAAAGTAACAAAATAGCCATGTCCGACCCAGCAGAGTACACAAACATAGAAGAATCGGAGCGACTACCTTTAAAACGTTAGAAACAAGAAGGCAGTGAATCGGTGAAACCAAGCCCTGTGAGCCTTCTTTAAGCCATAAGGAGCTTTGTTCAATCGATAGATATAGTGAGGATGATCAGGATGAATAAAGCCAGTAGGCTGTTTCATGTAGACAATTTCATTAAGATGACCATGCAAAAATGTATTTTTAACATCCAACTGATAGACGGGCCATTTATGAGAAGCAACAATGATTAAGACAATCCGAATTGTCACTGGTTTAAGCACCGGACTAAACGTTTGATCATAATTGAGACCAGGCGTCTTATTATAGCCTTGAGCGACCAAACGTGTTTGACATTGATCAAGAGAACCATCGGATTGGAGCTTAACTCAGAAAATCCATTTGGAGCCGATCATGTTAGCAAAAACAGGAGGAGGGACTAAATCCCATGTATTATTGGTGAGGAAAGCATTATATTCATCGCTCATTATAGCACACCATTCAGGGTATTTATTTACTTCAGTGGAGGATTTGGGTTCAGGTGGAAGTGAAGAAGATGTAGTAGTAGTAAGAGAAAGGATATGTTTAGGTTTACGTGTGCATCCCGAGTGCGGGTGACCATATATAGAGTGGGAGGCTTGGATGGAGGAGGACCTGAATTATTTGGCGAAGAAGGAGAAGGTGTAGGAGCTGAAGATACTAATGGAACAGACGACACTTCTTGTTGAGGAGTTGGAGGTCCACGGTAGAGGGTAATGTAGCAGGAAGGGACCGCGGAATAAGAAAAGAAGGATGTTTAAATTGGGAGCTAGGAGTGGAGAGCGGTTTAGCCGAAGAGAGTTGAGAAAATGGGAAAGATGTTTCATCGAAAACAACATGATGAGATGTATAGATTTTCATGGAAGCAAGGTCAAAGCAACGATAACCTTTA